TCAGCCAGTGAGCGGGAACCGGTCTGCATGTGGGATCTGAGCCCTCGGGCGGGAGCTTCCCAAGCGGCGCACTTATCTAGTGCGCCACCAGGCCGGCCCCTTAGGGATAGTTTTGAAAAAAAAAAAAAAAAAAAGCTCATCATCGATGTAAACAGTGAGAATGACTCAGATATTTAGTGCTCCCAGAGGTTGTTTTTTTTTTAAAGAAAGAGTATAGGTAAAATTCTGATTTGGTTGGCTTTAACAAAAACCAACCAATTTGTGCTGAATTAGAAAAGTTACTTTGGGGCCGGCCCATGGCTCACTCGGGAGAGTGCAGTGCTGATAACACCACAGCCACGGGTTCGGATCCTACATAGGGATGGCTGGTTCGCTCACTTGCTGAGCGTGGTGCTGACAACACCAAGCTTAGGGTTGAGATCCCCTTACCGGTCATCTTTTTTAAAAAAAAAGAAAAAAAAGAAAAGTTACTTTGGGCCACGGGGCCTTCGGGAGGTAGGGAAGAGCTCTGAAGTGAGTTCACCTATAAGCTGTCCCCTCCTTTGGAGGCAGTGACCACAGGAGGTCATAAGTTTATCAGGAGGGAGAATCAAGGATCAGAAGGTTTGGTTTTCGGTGAGAGAGTGGAATGCAGGCCTGGGTGCCCACCACTGGTTAACTGGTGAGTTGCCAATATTTATAAATAGGTCACCTTGGGCCAGGAAGTATTTAGGGTCCAGTCTTCAGAGTAGGCACTCAATAAATATTTGTAGAATAAATGGGGTCCCCAGGAGATTTCATGTAGATTTCAAAAGACTAAAGAGACTAATCTACTCAGTGGGAGTCACTCAGAGATAGTTCATTTCAGCTTTCAAAACATGGATGGGTTCTTCTTAAAGATAACATATCTCTAAGGATCAATATGTAGAAATAAAAAATTTCCGATCATTTTTCTCAAGTTTCAAAGTCTGTGTATAAACTAGAACCTTTACATCTTTCTAAAATCACATAAACTTCAGAAACAAAAGAGCCCTCATTTATTCTGAAACTTTAAATTCACAAAAACAATGTGTGTGCGGGCAGGTACTTCCATCTAACCTCAGCCTCCTCAAACATCAAAAGAGAATCTGGTGAGGAAACAAAGACAGCAGCGGTAGTCTAAAGTAGACATCCATATCAAAAACACATTAGAAAATATTGAGGCCTTTATTACTAAATAAAGCATGAGGTTTCAAGTTGACAATACAGCCCTAAGTTTTAAGAAGCTTTTTTTTTTTTTGACCGGTAAAGGGATCGCAACCCTCCGCACGGTGTCGTCTGCACCACGCTCAGCCAGTGAGCGCAGCAGCCATCCCTATATAGGATCTAAACCCGTGGCCTCGGCGCTGCCAGCGCCGCACTCTCCCGAGTGAGCCACGGGGCAGGCCCATTAAGAAGCTATTTTTGATACTTCTCTGATGATAAATGAAAACAGCTTTCTATTTTCTACAAAATCGAGTAAATACCTATATCCCACTTCTCCTAACTTGGTCCCACTTTTATCTATCCCAAATACCTCACATTGCCTCTCTGCTCTAGTCAAATTCATTCCTCACATCTCTTGAATATTCCAAGCTCATTCCTTCCCAATTTTCTACACAGGAAATAGCCATTCTCTTTTTAGTGATTTTATTGCACAGTGCTTAGTTATGTCTCTCTTGTGCACTATTTGGGGGCCATGAGCTGAGATTATGTACCGTCATGATTTGAGATTATGTCTGTTTTCCCTTCCCCTTCACCCCACAATAAACTTTCTGAACGTTAGGGCCTTTCTTATTAAACTATGTGTTTCTCCACTCTCAAGCTTCTGTCCTCCCCCATCTACCTCCTTTGTCTTTTCGTACATTCTCAGAAATGCTTGCTAAATTTATACGTACCTTTGCTGCAGTTCTCTCACTTGTAGTGCAGGTCTGCTTTAGGGCCCAAGTCCTCAATGACACTTTCTTTGACTATGTAGGCCCGCAAAGGTCTCTCCAGATCAGAATTACTACAGCATGTATCTATTTTTCATGCCTATTATTCCCCCCCCCCCCCCCCCCCCCCCCCAGCAATTTGGAGATATCCTGGGTTATTCTGGCAATTCTCAGATAGCCTGATATTTTGATAGACAAAATGGCCCATCTTGGTGTTTCCCTAAACACCTGTGACTTCCCTAAGACATCCCCCCCCCCCCCACGCCGACCACGTTGTAAACTCCAAAAGAGCCTGGGCTTTTGAATTAGCCAGATCTAGGTCCAAATCCCACTTCGGTTTTTCTTTTTTTTGGTGGCTGGCTGATGCGGGGATCCAAACACTTGACCGTGGAGTTTTAACACTGCGCTCTCACCGAGCTAACGGGCCATCCCCCCAAACTCCACCTCTACACTTTACTGTCATTATAACTTTGGCCCAGTAACTCTGGGCTTGTTGCCCCAATTCATGAGGGGTGTTTAACAGGTGAAAGGAGATACGGTTCATAAGACATCTAACCCACCTTAAGGAAAAAGATCCCATTGGACCTAAAAAGGAGGCAGCCTTGACGGAGGCATTCAGTAACTGTCAGTTTACTTCGGACAACACATTCCGCCCTAAGGGCAAAAAGGCACTTTTTTCACCAATTCAAGCTCGCCAACATTCCCCGTCCTGGGGGGTGGGGGTGGGAATGGAGGTGAAAGTTAGCGAGTTAAGTTGACCCGGAAGAAAGGATTCCTGGTCAAACCTGAAGACGTCGGGCCACACCATTTTATTGCGGACCTGCTTCCAATGTTTACAAACTTTGCAGAGCGACTTGTCACCAGGAACATCAGAGACAGGACTTGACTGCTAGATGAAGCTTCAGTCATGTCCAGCTCCTCGCCCATCTCTCCCGTCTTGGAAAGGACTGACAGACAGACACACCTTCTCCCCCTCGGCCCCCCACCTCACATCCCCCGGGCCAGGCGGGCCCGCGCCCCAAAGGAGAAATTCGGACCCCACCCCTCCGGTCCCAGGGAGAGACTCACTGCCGAGGCCTTTGGCCTGGTGGAGGAGCTCCTGGTCCCCCGTTTGCTGCCGCTGGCCGGCCGCGGACTCCACCACCATGTCGGAGCGCTGCTCGGGTGGAACGTCTCCAGGGGGCTGCCTGTGTCCCGCAGACTGCCCACCGCCCGCCTCCGGCTGCTGCAAGCCCAGCCAACTGCTCAAACCCTGGAACATCCCGCCCGCGGGGCCGCTGCCGCGGTCTCTGTCACCGGAGACCCCCGCGACTGCTGTTGGCTCAGGACTCTCCCTGCACTTCTCCCAGGGAGACAACCGGAAGGCAGCGCGACGCCTGCGCACCTCATTGTGCCCACCGCGCAAGCGTCACCCCCGGCCAAAGGCTCCGCCCCTGGGTACGTGGATTGTGACGACTTCGTTGTGCGCGTGGAAAAGGGACAAAAGGTTTTCCCTGCCTAGCTCCGCCTCCCCGCTTTTCATCCTTTCGCAGCTTTGTAGGTGACTGACCTAGGCCTGTGGAGGATGTCTTTGTCACAACCCTGCCCAGTGTCATTTTATGATTGACTCTAAGCAGCTGGTCTGGTGACTTAGCCTCGCCCTTTCGGGTCCAGCAGAGCCGGGCAGAAATGGATCTCTTTAGGGCCCGCCCGTGGCTCACTCGGGAGAGTGCGGTGCTGGTAACACCAAGGCCACGGGTTCGGATCCCATATAGGGATGGCCGGTTCGCTCACTGGCTGAGCGTGGTGCTGACAACACCAAGTCAAGGGTTAAGATCCCCTTACCGGTCATCTTTTATAAAAAAAAAAAAAAAAGGATGTCTTTAGCCTCCATGAGCCCAAATCAAAACTAACCCAATGCCTCTTAAGTCCAACTTACAGTGAATACAGAGGACAGAGGAAGGTGTTAACACTATGGTATACAGCCAGCAGAATCTAGACTATGAGAAACCACAGGACAAGGGCCGGCCTGTGGCTCACTTGGGAGAGTGTGGTGCTGATCACACCAAGGCCATGGGTTTGGATCCCTATATAGGGATGTCACTTGGGAAAGCATGGTACTGACAACACCAAGTCAAGGGTTAAGATTCCCTTACAGGTCATCTATTAAAAAAAAAAAAAAGAAAAGAAAAGAAACCACAGGACAAAGGGTCTTGTTTCTTCAAATAAATTGCAAAGAAGAGGTGGGTGGGGTGGGGAACCTATAATTTAAAAAGATGTAACCCACGGCCACGTATTTTTTTTTTTTTCCTTTTTGTCTTTTTTTGTGTCCGGCAACGGACTGCAACCCTCAGTGTCGCGCCCGCACCGGACCGGGACCGGCAATGGGATCACAACCCTCGGTGCTGCGCCTGCCCCTCACTCAGCCAGCGAGCGGGAACAGGTCTGCATGTGGGATCCGAACCCTCGGCGGGAGCGCCGGTGTGCTCTCAAGCGGCGCACTGTAGCAGTGCACCACCGGGCCGGCCCCCATGGCCACGTATTTATGCTCAGCAAACACATTGAAAAAAAAAAAAGTATGAAGTTTATAAGAATTGGAAATTTGAACACTGGATAGTTGATAAGATTGAGGAATTGTGAAATTAAAACAATTTTTAATTTTGGTAAAATACACAAAATTTACCATCTTAACTTAAAATTTACCATCTTAGCCATTTTTAAGTGTACAATTCAGTAGTGTTAAGTACATTCACATTGTTGTGCAACCAATATCCAGAAGTCTTTTCACCTAGCAAAACTGAAACTATGCCTATTAACAACTCTCCTTACCCCCAGCCCCTGGCAACCACCATTCTACTTTCCGTCTCTATGGATCTGACTGCTCTAGATACCCAGTGGAATCGTATACTATTTGTTTTTTCATGTCTGGCTTCTTTCAGTTAGCATAATGTCCTCAAGGTTCATCCATGTTGTAGCATGTGTGAAAATTTCGTTAATTTTCCATTGTATGTATATACCACACTTTGTTTATCCGTTTATACTTCTATAAACACAGGAATTATTAATTTTAATTTTTTTTTTTTTTGGCGGCTGACCAGTATTGGGAACCTGAACCCTTGACCTTGGTGTTATAACATCACATTCTAACCAATTGAGCTAACCAGCCAACCAGGAATTGCTAATTTTAAATTGTGGCAATGGTATTGTGTGTGTGTGTTTAAAGGCGTTCTTATCTTTTAGAGAATCATATCAATATATTCACCAAAGAAATGATACCATGTCTGGAATTTGCTGCAAACTAAAACAGGATGGGGGGGAAATGGGTGGGGATTTAAATGAAACAGGCCTGGCCATGGGTTTGTAATTGTTGAAGCTGGGTGATTATACTTTTATTTCTACTCTTCTATATTTTTAACTTTTTTCATAATAACGTGTAAAACAAACAAAAAACTGACTATGTGAACAGCTACCCTTTCAGAGCAAGGAGTTCAGGAACATATTTTCCAAACACAGTCCCCAGCAATCTGTTGCAGAAGGACACCCATGATTCCTCCTCCCCCCCATTCTGAGAAGAGTAAGACAGTTTGGGGCCGGCCTGTGGCTCACTCGGGAGAGTGCGGTGCTGATAACACCAAGGCCACAGGTTCGGATCCCATAAGAGTAAGACAGTTTGGGGCCGGCCTGTGGCTCACTCGGGAGAGTGCGGTGCTGATAACACCAAGGCCACAGGTTCGGATCCCATATAGGGATGGCTGGTTAGCTCACTGGGAGAGCGTGGTCCTGACAACGCCGAGTCAAGGGTTAAGATCCCCTTACTGGTCATCTTTAAAAAAAAAAAAAAAGAGTAAGACAGTTTCAGTGACCTGTGTGAGCATGTGGGAGACTGATTACAATTCTGATTTCCTTGCTGTCCAGTTTTCCAGCCTGAGCTATGTTTACATTTTTTTCAAGTTGGAGACTTTAGCTTAACAAGCCCAACCTGTTTTTGTTCCCAAACAGCTTTACTGAGATATAATTCACATACCTTACAATTCACCTGTTTAAAGGGTACAATTCAATGGTATATATTTTTGGTGTATTACACTATTAATTTTTTATATTGTGATAAAATATATAACGTAAGAATTGCCATTTTAACCATTTTTAATTGTATAATTCAGTGGCATTTATGACATTCCAACCTGTTTTTAGGGTCTGAGTATTGATACAGCTTTGAAAGTTAGGAGATGCTTTAGGACCAATGCCTTTCTAGGCTTTATTAAGTCAGTGCAAACTTAAAAGTGGTTGACACCTTCCAGAAAAGGATATTTGTTTCAAGTATGATTGAAAAGAGCCTGGAATTTCAGTCAGAAGTTTAGGATGGGGGCTCTAACTCCCCAATCTAGTAGGTGAATAACCTTGACTTTTTACTTGTCCTTTTTGCCCTTCAGGTTTCCTTACACACAAAAGGAATATAGTGTAGGTCCTTCATATAGCAAAGGTGGGGCCCAGCCCATTCAGCCTTACTGTGCTTTATCTCCAGGTATGCCCAAAACCGCGACAAAGGCTGTGTTCTCCAGGGGATAGATAGTCACAACTGTTCTGCCAAGTAAAAGTCTTCAAAATAAAAGATTATAAAAGAACATGAGCAATCAACTCAATGATTCCTTTTCATTTGTAAGAAATTATTTTGAGGGTGCAGCCCAATGTTAAGCAGGTGGTAGGCCGTGAATAAACACTTGTTGAATGAGGACCCACCCTTATCCCACACAGTTCAGCCAATCTGTACCATGTTTGATAATTTAAAACAAATCTGCTCATTTTTTTCCCATATGGGATTAATGACATAATAGTTATCATAGCAAACTCCGTTGTATTTACAAAATATCTTTCATCCATTAGCCTCAGAGATTAATGTTCCTGTGGTGAAGAGTCTTGCTGTGTGGACAGACGTTTTGCATTGATGTCCTGGCTTTGCCACTCATTAACTAATGTACCTTTGGGCAAGACATTTCACATCTCTAAAGCCTCAGATTCCTCATTCTAAAAAGGAGATCATAATAACTGTCCTGGTTGTAAAAAGGAAATGAAGTACTGAAAGGTGGAAGGAAACATTACATACACGCAAGTATTGAGTATCACCATCTACACCAGCCCGTTTCACAAACATCCTTTCTACCTGGCTCTCCAGAAGACTTGCTTCCTTAGCAAACTCCTCTAAGCCTCATTCTTTTTTACAAGGTGTTTTCTCCTTCCCCCCTCCCCCATGGAAACCTGGGTCTCCCCCAAGGATGCCCTGCTGAATGAAGTCTGCTTTTTTCCCCCAGAAGTTGACATCAGTATCCCAAGCGTTTCATTCTCAGAGGTCTTTGGGCCCTTATCCCTGTCCATCAGCTCCCCGATGGTTTCAGTTCCTGTTTCCTAGGACTTGACCCCTGGCCCATTGCTACAATCACATCCTTTCAGTGCCCTCCACTTCCTCACCCTCTTGTCCTTTTACTCTACCAGCCAACTCCGGTTTTACCATTAACATCTATATTTATACAGATACATTGCAAAATTATAGCTGGACATCTCCCCACAATCACGGTTTCTAAAGTCCACTAGGTCTTCAATGGCACTTGTCTAAGTGGCCGCTCTAGTGTCTAACATTGGTGATTCAAAAATTTCACCACTTTCCTGAACCTTCCATCTCACTCCAAACCCTTCTGCTGTCCGTAGTTGGATCCTTTCTCCTTCTGTGGTTAGCTCACGTTCTTCCTCCCGTGTTCTCTCCCAGCACCAGCCACCCTCCAAATAGTCCCAAAAAGTCACTCGGTGACGCCTTCATCGCCTTGCTTCTTTTCCTCGTCGCCCCCAGCCGTGCCGACCTCCCACCACACTCTGAGCTCCAGCAGGGATTCCGTGTTCTTGTCCTCTCCCGAGCCCTCCTGCAGCTCCTGGCACGTAATAGGGGAGCCACAAACCGTTGTGACGAGCGAAGCGCCTTATGAGGGTGACAAGTGAACGGGAGGGCCAGAGCTTGGGTCTCGGCAGGCCGGGGACGGGGCTTGCGGGGCACCCTGGCGTTCCCGGAGCACCCGAAGTGGCCGTGCGGAGCGAGCCCCGGGAGGGAGGAGCGGTCCCCGAGCTGAGCGCGGCGCGGGGCCAAGGGCGTCCAGAGCGGAGGGGGCGGCAGCTGCCTGTGCCGGAGGAATCACGATTTAGGCGGCCGTTATGGAGCACCCCACAAACACGGGTGCGAGCCCCCTGCTCCCCAGCGTGAGTCAGCGGGGCCCCCAGAAGGGCGGAGAGGGGCCTGTGGGCGAGGAGGGAGCCTCGCTCCCAAGGCCCGCGCACGAGGCGGAAAGGACCTGGTGGCACCTCGGGCCAGCCCCAGCGGCGGCCCCCTCCTCAGCCCGACAGGTGAGCGCCAGGCCCGCGGCGGGGCGGAGCTCACCGTCGCCACCGGCCACCCTCCTCGGCGCCACCACCACGGAGCAGGTAACTCCCCGCCCGGGCCTCCTCCGCAACCCCAGGGACTCGGCGTCTGGGCCACCCGCGACCCCAGGGCCTCCCGGCCTCGTCCCGCGCATCCAGCCCTGGCGCACACGTGGGGCCCGGCGCCTTTGTCCC